GGGTCCTGCAGTCTCCTTTCACGTGGATGTCCCCTCTCCCAACGACATGAGCGCCTAAGTTTGTTACCACGGTTATCGCGATTACCCTTAAGAGGTCTGTTTCAAAAATTGTTTTTACGAGCAAAAAATGCATCACTGAGTAATGCTCCATACCACTGAACGCGCATAAGTACTTCTGTTTGGGAAGAGTTAAAGGGAAAACATTGAATTGATTTGTATTTTGTTTTTTTGTATTTTGTATTTTTGCCAAATTATCGATTTATTAGGATTTTTTATTTCGTTCAACCCATTTCAATACATTTTAGGGAGACCAGTTTGGGAAAGTATTTTTCTTTTTGCGGCTTGTAAGCAATTTGTCGTTTCTTAGACCATTCCTATTCCAAGGAACGATTTTACTTTCGTTACGTGCATGCGACCATTCCTAGACCGGTATGTGGGTTCTTATGGAAATTCACCAATTACTCCTCGGAAAACTCTGCATTTTCTGTTCAGCCCCTTAATTACAGCAGTAACATTGTTCGAACTGAGAGAAAGGTATTTTTGACGGCGGAAACGCTTACGTATGCTCACGTTCAAGACCATATAAACAAAGGACCAACCAGGGTCCTACTCTATGTATTTTCAGGTAAGGAGAGCGGAGGGGGGATGATAATTTAAGGCCACACAAATGAGGGAACAACCAGGTTGCTACTCTATTTTCAGGCAGGGAGAGAGGGGTGCGATAAAGACGCCACAGACCCCCACCGTTTAGAAGTCACAGCTCAGATCGACTCCTCGCCAAGCCAGCGAAGCCTCCCATCACTACGGAATCCTTTGAATTTGCACCAAGCTTGTATGGGAGGGCGGGGGAAACGCTGCAATACACGACGGTTGGTCTTCGTTACGCACTGTATAGGCCATCCAGCGCTGAACTGCTACTGCGTATCTGAATAGGAGCAGAATACGTGGCGCATCCTAATGTGATTGACCAACCCAAATGCTCGGTCTTCATACCTGAAAAGCACAAGAGGAACTGATGATACCGTTCCGCCACAAAACTGAGTAGCCCCCACCCCTCCCACCCCCCACCCCACCAAAGGGACCATCAATGATCCCAAAAGAATGTTGAGGACCCTCATCTGACAGGGTTTACAGAGCTGGTAGAGAATTCAAGCTTATCACAACAGCTGCCGCATTTGCTTCAAATTTTCGGATAACTAGAACAAATTCCATGACATCCGCGTCTTAAAGTGTACGCTATAGTAAAATCGAATTTATGAACAATGCTACCCACAAAATTGTCATTATGCTCTATTGTAAGTAAAATTGTAGACCGGAAAAGCGCTCAATCCAGTCCCCAGCTTAGGCCCGGCCTACAACTGGGGGATGACTTCTATGGTGCCTTTTCATCACTCCCTGTGTTAGCCTGATCTTTTCGCAACTATCCCTCATTCTAAGAAAATGATCCATATACGTATATGCTTATTCAATAGTTAGATGATAAAGCGGACCCCGCCAAAAGCGGGACAAGCACTGAAGAGTAAGTGGAAGAAGGCTAGTTAGATAATTAAATCCAAAGCAACACCCCCAGCAGAAGCCGTGTCGAAAAATCTAATCATTGGGCGGACCAATGGTGCTATATCATTTGGTCGACCAATTGGTGCTAAGCCTTACAAAATCAGTGGCGACTAGTCTTTAGAATTTGGACGAGTTATTGTGAGCCAACCCCATAATACGCAAAGGGATCACAGCGTAGTGGCTATCAAATACGTGCAGGTTAGGTGAGCCGTGGAGCAGGCAAACTCGCTTAACTCGTCCGGTCCCGCCCCTTCCTTATTTTGAGGGAAACCCTTACTTAGGGCCTCATCGGTGATTTCTTTGCTACTTTTCACATTTTTAGTTAACTCGGCATCCACAAGTCCATTATTGACTGCTGTGACCCCACAAATTCGATATGGGCTATTGCTTTGATCAAATTCTTTCTGGTAGCGACGCTTCTAGTTCTACTGAGCCACTATTGGCTGCAACAAACACAGCAGGCCAGTTTTTCGGCCCCCCTTCTTTTGCACTTTCGCTGACTGTAATGTTCATGTCAAGACGCAGTAGTCGTAATAAGTAAAGATTTACCGGTTACGCAAAAAAGGAAGCCATTGTTCAGTGACGGGAGTAGCAGAAAAAGCACAAGTACATAGTGATCCATAAAAATGTGCTTAATACGCAAATGTGTTCATATCATGGTGTTATGACCGATCGGTAAAAACGAGAGCATCTTGCGAATGCAATGGGACGGAATCGATGGTGCTGAGTTGCCTTGAAAATGCTTCCAAGAAAATGTTTCAGAAAAGAAAGAAAAACGAGAGAAGTTCAAGCACTTTTCATTGTAGCATTCGGGTCCTTTCCCCTTTAGGAACCCTGAAAAGCTCATAGAAACTAAGAAGATCCAAAAAGGCAAGAAGGTGAGTCAAATCAGAGTCATTTTCAAATGTGAGGAGCAGAAAAAGTTCGAAAGCAATTGGAAGTCAGCAGGTTGAATCCAGCTGAGCCAGCTGGAACAGGCTTAAAATCAAGGCAGTTCTACTAGCCGATTGGTAGCAGAAGCGCTAGCAAGATGGCCGCAGTATGGCTGATGGCTGGACGATGACGAAACTTGTTCCATAAGGAATGAGATCACTGGTAAAAGCCAGAAAGCCGCGCCGTCACCAGATAAATTCGTCTGGGCGGCTCCTAGCATTCCACTCTGATTCGTCATACTTGAAAGGGGGAAAAATCGGAAGGATCCTCGAAGATGGGCTCTTAAGTGGAACGCTGTGGGTTGGAAACGACAACGTAGGGGAAAAAAGGCCCAGCACTGTGCTGGTTTCGGCAGAGTTATAAAGATGCATGTGAAGCAGAGAGACAGTAAAATGAATTTGACTGCCCCCCCCCCCGCCCCCCGTAAGAAATGTGGTCAACTTGAACTTAGGATCGACCGATGTTCGCTCAGACAGAACAATGGACGAGCGCTCTACTTCAGATGGACATCTTGACCATGTCCGCAATTCTTGCTGTATTGCAGAACCCTGCTCCCTTCGGTAGGGAGTTTCAGGCCGCATGAGTGCAGGGAGTGCGGGTACCCGACAGGAGGCCCGTCGCGGCAAGAAGGCAGTGCAGCGGACGAGTCGCAGCGCGTACTGTAGGATTTCGCGTCAAGTTAAATAGAATGTGCCATTGCTGCGACTCGTCCGCTGACTCTGCCTTCTTGCGCGCGACGGGCCTCCTGTCGGGTACCCCACAAGAGAGAGATTACCCCTCTTACCCCGAGGTTACCAAGATAGCGGCGGTTCAGATGTGTCATTAGCAGTCTTGGGTAGAAACTTACCTGATCCGACGTAACCTATTAAGGGGACCGAGCAAGAGGCGCGCTTGAAGTGCATTCCATGTTCTGTCTCGCTCCCTTTAGAGGTCTAATGGGTCGTTACGACCTTGCATTCCTTACTTTCTTTTCCATACGAGGTCGCTTACCACTTCTAAACGTGAATCCACACATTTGACTTCGATACTTTTTGTGTTCAATCAACGCTTATAGCAGTTTTTGATAACCATTCAACGAGAAATCGTCGAGTCATCCCTGCCAACCAGTTCAGCTCGGCTCGAGAGAGCTGCTTTCACTTCGTACGTGTCCGTGTTTTTACGATATTGTCCGGACACATAACCTCACATCAGAACACAATGACACTTTCTGTTCTAATACGGGCTATTGAAAGGTTTTCCATCTGATTCGAGCCGCAATGTTTCTGTTTCCTGATAAGGTACCCAACTCCCATATAGTCGTCGGGTCATTATGCAATACTCAACGTACGCCCAGCCGTACCATGACCTACAAATACTGCTTACACTAAACAGTACTCGGCAAACAATGCCAGCCGGCCCAGATCTGCGCGATGAGCGCTGCGACGAGGACGATAGCCGTGTCGGCCCGTGCCCCAATAGTGGATGAACACGTTTTTTCGCATCATAATAGAGTCCTTGTCTGCTTCCTTCCTCTGAAATCGCTTCGATGATCCTCTTTGATAAAGAAGTGCTTCGTTTTTCATCGTGAATCTACCGTCGAACCAGTTACGGACATTTTTGGCGCTGCCGGCTGAGAAAATCGCTTTTCTGGCTGGATTACGCTTCCGAGGACATTCTTGAGTGTATTAGCATCGAACGTTAGCTTATTTTTGTTCATTTTCGAGAAAAAGGGAGCGATTCATACTACTAGCGCCATTTTTATCCCTAGTGCTGATGTGAGCACTTTAAGACCCTTGTGTATGGCTTACCTACAGTAGTGGCCAGAAATTTATGAACAAACGGTTTTTTCATGATTTCTCTTTTGAAAGTCACTGGAACGTCTCCAAATTTGCAACAATTATTAACTACGTGTTTTATGATCCACACAGAAAATTTCAACCTTCAGCTCAAATTTGGGTTTAGAAAATTTTAGATTTTTCGAAATTAATGAAGGCAGGTGAAAGATCACTTGATCCGTTTATTTGATTTAAATAATGTATAACCCAACAGAACAGTCAAGTAAACAGTCACTAACATTAAGCAAGTCTAGCACATTGCCCAGAACTCTCTAAAGTATTGGATACATAAACTGGGTTTAAGTGGGGTCAATTAATGAACTCGCCCTCTAGTGGGGTCTCTCTCTGTAGGCGCTTATTTTCGTGACTCTTTCATTGACATGCGACTTTGTAGCTCCTCCCTTAGTGGTTCCGTAATGTTTGGCTCAGAGTCTGGCCTGGCTGGCTCATTAAAAGCACTCCATGCTGTCGAAACCACTCCTGCATGTGAGAGGCCCCACAACAAGTGGGGGGGAGGGGGAGGGGAAGGGAGGAGGCCCGATGCTTTGAGTCGCTGCTCTGCCGTCAGACAAAGTCAGGTCGTGGCGGCAGGAATACCTACGGATACATAACACCTTCCAAAACATGACAGCAAACGTCTGCCTTCATCGCTACCTCAGTCGTGTAGCGTGGTCCCACTTTTTTCCAAGGCAACCTTATCAAGCCTCCGCCAAGTTTCACAATTGGCAGCTGATTCTTTGGATCAAAAACGTTCCCTCTCGTGGTGCCGTACATTACTAGTATCCTTGCTGTCATGCATCAGTAATATGTTTTTGTCATTCCAGATGACCTTAGAAACCTGTATCAACCTTCGTTTCAGACTTAGTCAATCACATTCTACTCCCACCCACTTCACAGCGAGCGCTCTTCTTAGACTTTGAGAACTAAGGAATACGTAGTATAGACTTATTCTAGAAGATGTTATGTATCCGTAGACATGGCTGCCACACGACCTGGCTTTGTCTGTCAGCAGAGCAGCGACTCAAAGCATCGGGCCTCTCACATGCAGGAGTGGTTTCGACAGCATGGGGTGCTTTTAAAAGACCAGCCAGGCCAGACTCCTTGAGCCAAACATTACAGAACCACTAGGGAGGACCTACATTCGTATGTCAATGAAAGAGCCACGAAAAGACGGGACTACAGAGAGAGACCCCACTAGAGAGTGAGTTCATTAGTTGACCCCGCATTCAAATCCAGTTTATGTATCCAATACTTTAGAGAGTTCTGGGCAATGTGCTAGACTTGCTTAATGTTAGTGACTGTTTACTTGACTGTTCTGTTGGGTTATACATTATTTAAATCAAATAAACGGATCAAGTGATCTTTCACCTGCCTTCATTAATTTCGAAAAATCTAAAATTTTCTAAACCCAAATTTGAGCTGAAGGTTGAAATTTTCTGTGTGATCATAAAACACGTAGTTAATAATTGTTGCAAATTTGGAGACGTTGCCAGTGACTTTCAAAAGAGAAATCATGAAAAAACCGTTTGTTCATAAATTTCTGGCCACTACTGTATTTCGCTTACTTCTTACTGGGTGAATCAGTGGCCTTGCACATCTCCTATTCTTTAGAAATTCTCTGGGTTCTTTTTCGATAATAATCTTTTCTTTTTTTCCAGATTTTTATCTAATTTTCTGATCTATTTCCTGTCTGCTCCTACGGCAAGTGGTGCCGTTCATCATGCTCACGATCCAAGGTTAAAATCCAGGAGCAATCCCACCTAGGTCAACGGGGTCCTCATCTCTTCTGGGTCTGCTGCTTAGAATCACTGATGGGAAGATAAAAACGCTGGGTGGCACACCGGTTTTTCCTCACAATTCATAGTATGAGCAATTCGTATTGACGACCTTCACGATTCTGAACAGATGTGGAATGCATGGCGCATCTTGTAAAGGAATCAGCTAACTCATTTCGCATCGATATTATCCTTTTCATACTTTTTGCGAGACAAACGAAGCTTATCAATCCTTTTTTCATCCCTTGGCTGCTGATTCTTGAGCAAACTCTCATTGAGCGCCACGCACGGAACTCCTGAAACTGGTTCTACTCATGGGTTTTCAAAAACAATATGTCATTTTCTACAGAACTCTCGTCCTGCTGTGCTGCTTTCAGAAGATCAGCTTTCCTCTAGGATTTGTCTCTTGTTTGGTCGCTGATGGACCATGCGTACCCATTCACTATCGATCAAAGACAATAATCTGAAATCGCTTGAGAGTGAAACACCTTTCCGGTTAGCATTCACAGAAAGTTCGTCAGCAGAATGAATTCTTCTGAATTCCAGTTCAGCATGTCTAAGATTTCTAAGCGAAATGCGCCGGAAATCATAGGTTAATTTCGCCCTCTGCATGGCCCCGACATCAGCGCTAGGGTCAGGGGACTCGTTCTTCAGAACGGTATCGCCCAATTTATTGTTCGTAGGCCATCTCTCGCGTGAGGAGGTACAGGAACCCCGCTATTACCACCAGTCTTTTCCCTGATTAGCAGAGTCATCGATAAAAAGATGGGGCGCTAACGCAAGGTACGGTGTATTGGTGTTGCCAATGCATTTGAAATCGCATGAAATATGTTCTTTTTGTTACAAACCGGGCTAAGTCTTAGGCGGGGGAGAGACACTGCAGGGTGGGTCAGCCATTTTCTTTCTCCGCGGCATTCTGCCTCCCCTAGTCCTAGGGATGCCCTGTCTTGCGATAGCGCTGAGGTATGTCGATTCAGAGCGCGTTCATGGCGCATTCTTCCAAAGTAAGCCCTTAAAAATGACATATTCGTTTAGCGCCAATCTTTCCTCCGAAAATCTCTTAATTTCGACACTTGGAGTTTTTGCTGAAACGTTTCCTCTGAAGAGCAGTCATCGTTTAGATGGCGCTTTTCAACCTCCTGAGCCGGTTATCGCCCACTCAGCTGGAATTTGTCCTTGTAAAGTTCCAGAATTCAGCATTGTAATTCCAATTGCGTGAATCTGGACTGAGGGCGGCCAGCAATCGCACCATCTATCGAAAAAACGAGCCGCTTTTTGACGATGGCGAAACGAAATGGACGGATGGAGATCGGTGATTTTCGTGCTTTTTTTCGGCGACCATACGGTGGCCCTGTCGCATGTTTGCCTCTCAAACTGACTGCTTTATGGCGTTTTTTCCTGCACAAGCCATCACTTCAAGCGCTACCGTAATCTGCCTGAAGGTCTCCAGATAAAGTGCACCATCCCA